GTCCCTATGACGAACCGTAGTTCAGAATTGCAGGCCGCCCCGCAGATGACCCCAGTCAGCGGCGAGGGCTACGGGGACCCATCTCTTCTCTTTCGTGTTTAGGGGGGGGGGGTGAAAGGTTTGGGGTTTAGGGTTTAGGGCTTTAGGGCTGTCTTTTGTGTTTAGGGCTTAGGGGTTCAGGGGTTGAAAGATTTAGGGGTTTAGGGCTTTAGGGCTTTTGTGCTTAAGGTTTCCGGGTTTTGAGGTTTATGACTTCCGGGTTCAGGAATGCTTTTGACTTCTGTGCACGTTGAAACATGCAGCCCCAAAGATCTAAGCTCCCGAACATGGAGACTCCTAACGCTTTGCATAAGGGCCCCAGTGCCGAATGTACTCCCCTTTCTGCCCCGTTAGAAAGCACCAATAAAGGCCTGTACTCTACTTGGGCCCTGGACCTTGGGGGCCACCTTAACCCTAGGCTCATTGATTGAGGATTTTGAGCTTAGGTGTGTCTCTGCGGCTCTGAGAAAGGGGTCTGAAACAATACTGATACTATCTCCTTGATGTCCCTAGCATGCTAGAGGCTAGTTGCTAGCCCCATGCCACAACTCCCATTCTAATGACTAAGGCCTAAGGATCCTATATAGTGTTAGGGTGTCCTGGGTCCAGTGGGTTTCTAGACTCGGAGTTATCGAAGGCCTGGGTGCGATCTGACTGTTGTGATGGACAAGAGCCTAACCGTCTCATCATTAAGATATTTACGGCTACTTACCCGCCGTAAGCAGCTGGGGTCATTTTTAGGGTTTAAGAGCATTGCCCATGACAAGTGTTTGGCCACAATCCAAATAGTTTTAGTGTACTTCCCATCGCACAAGCTTTCCTGCATCAGCTGATTTCGGTTCATGTTGAGTCTTGGTGGCAGTACGTTCCGGTCAAGCTTGTAGAACGGAAGCTACTCGTTTCATAGAGGCTTTTCAGAGCAATATAGGGCCGGAACATGATTGTTTGGTGAGCTCCTCAACAACACTACCCGGACTGATACAAAGCAAACCTGAATATTGGCAAGAGGTGGTTTTGTCAACCCCAAACCCTAGGGAGGTGTGGTATTTCGGCAGCATACAATGCCCGACGTGATTCCTTGACGCGCTTAGTCATGTTTATTGGGTTTATGGCTTTCCCACAGCCGTGACTTTTGTTGGACAAATCTGCCTCCAGGACTTTGGCTTGACGACTATGCCAGCGTCTGTAGTGGTGGAGGAGGCGTGGTTTAGGTTTTAGGGTGTTTTGGGGGTTTTAGGGCTTTAGGGGTTAAGGGGTTGGGGTATATAAATATATATATATATATATATATATATATATATATATGTAGGTTTATCAGGGTTTAGGGTTTCGTTTCGAAGCTCCGAGAGCTGCTGTCTTGGCTTGTCATCGAGCATCCTGGCAACCTTAGACTATGTAGCTCCTAGGCTCACAAAGTGGATGGAGAGTTTGCGCTGGCATTTTGTCTCCTCTCTCGCTCTCTGTCGCTTTATCTCTCTCTCTCTCTCTCTCTCACTCTCTCTCTCACTCTCTCTGTCTCTTTCTCTCTCTCTCTCTCTATCTCTCTGTCTCTCTCTCTGTCTCTCTGTCTATCTCTCTCCTTCTCTTCCCTCTTCCGCTTTCCGACAATACTTAATGTGATTGATTGTGGTGTGACGTGTATCCGCACCCCAAACTTGCAATGCCTTTGCATCCTCAGCGTCAACCCCAGGCCCTAAGCCACAAACCCACCCTCCGTAGACCTCCAACACATAAGCTATGGGAGTTGTAGCACTCTACTGGGTATAGGGTTTACCCCTAATTTGACATCGAAACCCGATGAGTCCGATCAGTCTTGAAAGATGCATCTTGGGAGGTACAGTCGTTTTCGTCGCCACCGTACTTACCAGGTGCCCTGATCATTCGTGTAAAGCCTATCCAAACTATACCGTACAGTAGAAGCCAGAAAGTTCGAATATGATTATCCTAACCCTTCTATGGTAAATTATAGGGTATCCTACCATGAAACCATATTCCAACTTTCTGGAGTTCCCTTTACAGCCTTAAGCGCTACCCTAAACCTCGAATGTAAAGCCCTGCCTCCGGAGGTCCCTAACTTTTCAGTCCCCGACCCTGATTCTTTAAGCAGCCTTTATATGCATAAGCATTTTATGGGGGATATCCCTACCTTTTGGGCTTCATTATGAGGGGTTTTATCTGGGATATCCTTTATGTCCTCACACCAACATGGAAACGTTGAACAAAACGCCCTCTGATTGCCCTCCTAGAGACCCCTGCAACTTTACAAGCTCCAGAACTGCGACAACTTTATTTCAAATCAAGGCCATATGAAGCCTTTAGTCCCTTTATGCTTTCCTGACGCCCGCTCTGCTTTTTGCAAAGGGCCCTTCTCAACAAATATAGGTAAACGCTGTGTAGGGAAACCGACTCAACATGTCTTCTTATCCTGCAAGTAGCCCTAGAAGCCCAGATTCCTGTACAGTAGTTTACTGCCCAACCCTACATGAACTGAACAGCACCCGTCGCCCAGTAGCCTGCTACTGAAATTTGTCGTCCTTGTGGTATTCCGCGGTTAAGAACCCTGGCCGCAAACCTAATAGAAACCCTGAATAGAAGCCGTTTGAAGAGTAACCTCCACCCTAAACCCTAACCCCTAAACCTTAAACCCTAAGCCCCTAAACCTTTGAAGGCTCTGGCCTTGGCATACACCAACGCCTGGGAGCCTGAGGCGGAGCGGCGCTGGAAAGAGGCAACTCGGCTCCTCAATTCTCTCAACTCGAAACCCTAAACCCTGGCAACTCGAAAGCCTAATCCATGGACTTTCGACCCCGAGAACCATGATGTGGGTTCGGGTTGACTTTATTGCTCTTTGGCAAGCATCTTACATTGCTTAAGGTTTCGAAGGGGCTCGCTTCAAATCCTATGCCCTAAACCAGAAAACCCAAGACCATAAAACCTATAGCCCGCAACCCTAAACCCCAGGGCATGAGGCAACCCCGTGTCGCCGTGCTCGTTGAGCTCTTCGTGGCGGCTAATGCTTGGTCCTTTCACTCGTTGAGCAGGGTGTAGGGGTAATATAGAGGCCTTACTGAATAGAATGGGGTGTTGGGGCTCATTATAAACAAATTGGTAATGATTTAGGCCCCTACATTACGGGTTTAGGGGATGGACATCCAGTCATCTTTTTAGTCAGAGCTTCATATGTGAGCTACTTAGTCATGGAAGCGATTGGGTAGGATTTAGGGGTTTTGGGGTTTTGGGTTTAGGGTTTGGGGTTTGGAGGGTTAGGGTTAGGAACCAGTAAGCCGTAGTACGCCCTCATCCCTGACGATGCACTCGGGCCAGAGGTGGTCGACCAGCTGCTGAAAAGAGAGCTCAACAGCTCCCAGGTACAGCTTACGGTGCAGAGTTTGGGTTTTACCTAAACCCCCAAAAGTAGGTAAAGTAATGGCCCAACCCCTCTAAAAGGCTATTATTCTACATACAGTTGGGCTCCAGGTAGGTCAGATATGGCTGGAGAGTTGGGAATTTCGATGTTGATAGCCTTCACGGGGTTCTTGCTTTCTGGATTCACTCTGTCTTTGGGCTGAAGTGGGGCGCGGGGTGGTAACATGCCGAACTTCGGGTTGCCATAGGGCTTTAAGTTTCAAATGTTGGATGTAGCAGCTGAGTGTAGACAGAGATCGGGCATTTGGGAAATTTTATTCTGGGGTCGTTTTTCGGCACTGCATGAAGCACCTCAACCACAAACACCCCAAACCCTTAAACACTGAAGCCCTACCGCCTTACACGCCAGAAGCCCGATGCCCTGAAACTCTAACCCCCACACCCCTAAGCTCTGTGTCTTGAATGTGGTTCAGCTGTTTGGGGCTTAAGCGCCCTAGATTCAAGACCTTTCGCCTTGAACTTTGGCGACTGAAAACTTCTCAGTTCCCGTGGAGTCCTACCTCCAGCGCACTTCCTTACGGCTTTTGTGGGGTGCTATACAGTTAACCGTTCATCTCAGCCAGATTTGTCAATCTATGCTTTGCAGCTTTGGGTTACGGGGGTGGTGGTTTGGGTTGTGGTAGAGCCCAAAGGGTCCAAGTATCATTATGGCATATACTTATGGGGTATGTTGGGGGTCCAAGTATATACCATAATGATGCTTGGACTCTTTGGGGAGGCTTCAGAATTTGGGGTGCTTTGCAGGCCTGTGCGTCGCAAAAGCGCTCCTCTGCAACTAAACTTGCGATTGCTAAGCTTTTGCCTCGCTGTTTGAACTGCCGCTCCCTTAACCCCTACATGCTTCTAATGCAGACGGATCATTGCTCATTACGATGATGATGTCGATGATTATAGTCATGATGACCATGAGGAAAGAGGAGGAGGTTGATGATGAGGGAGGAGGGAGGTACATGGCGGTGATGATTGAGTTCGTTGTTTCGCTTTCCTCCTATCTAAGTATATACCTATGTACCTATCTATTTGTCTGTGTGTTTATATTGTAGTTTTATATGTTCATATTGATTTATGTACACACACAGTCACATGTACACTCGTCTTCCCAAGGTTTTTCTCGTGCTCATGGTATTATACATGTGTACAAACACACACACACACACACACACACACATATATATATATATATGTATATATATATACATATATGTATTTATACATCTATATGTATATACATATATATATACACACATGTCATCCCCCATGTATGTAGCTACGCATGTAACCATGTTATCGTGGGTTGAGCCTGGAGCAGGCACTGTTGGTGTTCCACTGCCTCGTCCAGTTGGGCTATCACCACCCGCTCCTGCTGGAGAGGCATGGCTTGGGGCCTTTCTAGGATTTAGGGCTTAGGGTTTAGTTTACAACTAGAAGGCGAGACCCAGTCCCCAGGGCCTCTGCAGAGCGCCCTCGCCGCTTTTGGCTTTGGGCCGACACATGTGCCTGCGATCACAGATTGTCTAGAAAGGAACCTTCGAGCTTTACACTGGTTCCAAATAGACTTTATCTATACAAGTTTTCCCTCCCTCTTCTCGGAAGGTAAGCTTCAAGGGAGACTTTATCGTCTCCCACCAGCTCTCTGGACGGAGAGGCTTTGTGAGCAGATCCGCAAGTTGCGCCCAAGTGGGCACCCATGCGATTCGCCCGAAACTCTTTAGATCCTGGCGGATGGCCGCCAAATCTATCGAAAGCCTTTTGCAGGTAGGGACTCGCGGGACTCCGTCCCGGGTCAAATGATCATACAAACTGCGGCAGTCGCTCAGAAATCGAATCTGGAACCGAGTCGAGTTGCGGGCCAGCTTTCCGGTGAGCAGGGTCTCAAGAAACTTCGCGATGAAGTCTCCTGTTTCCGTTGCTGTCCCGCATGCCATTGTCTCTGCCGCGAAGGTGGAACGACATACTCTTTCACAGGCTCCGCTGCGCCAATCCAGGATGCTTCCATGGCTCTCTCCACCGGAGAGAATCTTGTCGTCTGCCAGCACGTAGAGGCCGCCCAGTTGGGATGCGATAGTAGAATTCGTCTTCTTCATCTTCGCCTCCCTTCTTGCTAGCGGGCCGTCCTGGAATCTCCCTTGTAAGTTTTCCTCATCGGTCAGCTTGTAGAAGGGGTCCTCATCGTTCTGCGGGACGTTTGCCCACCCGGCATCATGATAGCAGAGCAGGACGGCGCAGTCGAGGTTCACCGGGAAGAAGGTCAGGCCCTCCTCCTTATGTTCCATAGCCCGTCGGGCCAGTTGGTTTGTGAATCTCACATCCCCAACCGTTGGTGACTTCTGGCATTGCTGGCACATAGAGACGCCAACCTGCAAATCAGGACGCGTCTGACTTGCCATCCATGAGAGGGCGCCGATCAGCGACTGGTTGTCGTGCTTCTCGATCTCGCTGGCCTCGAAGTGGTCAGGACTACTTCGCTCCACATCGACCTGGAAGAGCCTCGTGTTCGCGTAGCTCGCCTGGGTCACCTTAACGCGGTCCTCGAGGATCTCGATGAAAGAGCCCACGTACTCGAACTTTTCCTCTTCCCAATCCTGGATTGGGAACTCTGCACTTAGTCGCCCCTTCACCAAGCTTGGCGTCGCCGACCAGCAGAACATCATCGACATGGACACCCAGGTAGGCGCTGGGAGCCTCAAGTCGGGGCTCTCCGTTCTCGTCGTAGCCCGTGACCTTCTGGACCATGAACACGCAGTGATCCAAAGTACTTTGGACCACCATCCATTCGGTGTCTCCATCCCGGATCTTCATGCCCTTGAGGGTACGGTGGAATTTCGTCCACCATGCTGCCGGGGAGTCCACAAGGCCAAAGATGGGTTTCCGTATACGCAAGAGTTGTTCCGGGTGGAGATCGCCGAGCCCGGTCTTTGGTTGTCGTAGATAAAGTTCACGCTCCAAGTCCTCCCCACAGAGAAAGGCGGCTGTCACATCGCCGGCGTATCCCTTCCATCCCTTGTTCAGGTTCGACGCGAGGATCTGGAGGAGTAGGTGTATGCCCTGGCGAGAAATCGTTGGCGCATGCGTAGGGAGTCCGGATAGGAGGTCGGGATCTCGGTGTCCCGCTATCACCAGCCTCGCCTTCGGTTTCCATCCCACGTCTGGGCTCTCTCGGCGACGAGACCAGTGCTTGTCCCGATAAGCAAACCTGCTATTCAGAACCCGCTCTGGTCGCTCTCGCGCAATCCTCCGACTGTCCTCGACAGAAAGTGGGTCAAGTGCCCCATGTTCCCGATGCTCGTCGTACTGCTTGCGTTCGGCCTGGCGAAAGTTAGGTTTCTGGTCTTCGGGCACCATGGACCAAGGGATCTCCTTCTCGAGGGCCTTCTCTCTTCCCCTAGGGGTCTTCGGGAGCTTCATCATAAAGGTAGCGTGGGGGTCGGAGTTCTCGAGGACCTCGGGGCCTTTTGTCCTGTGCCGCTTGGTGACGGGAGCAGGCGGGTCGCCATCCCTTCTCCTACTGCTTTCTCCACGTTGGCGTCCATGATGGGGACCGTCAACACCGTCTCCATCTTGGTGATCGTCGCCAGGTGGTAGTTCAGGATCCACGTCCATCTCCTCGGTCTGGTCGTAGAGCTCTTCATCACCAAAGTCTTGTTCCAGCAGCTTCTCCAAATCTTCTTTCGTTGACCTGAGAGTGAAAGCTGCGCCCAATTCCTCGGAACTTGCGAGTCTCAGGTGTTCTGGGGCCACCAGATGGCAACGCCCGGAGAAGGACACCCAGTAGTTTGGCCCTTCTCTGCCAATCACAACCCCAGGTCCATGCCAAACCCAATTCTTGTTATTCTTGGGCTTCCGGTAGAAGAAGACGTGGCAGCCCACGTCGAGTTCAGGACCTCCAACTCTGGAGCGCTGCAACAGACCTTTCCGAAGCTTCGCATCGTTCCGGACTTTGAAGTAAGCTTCCTTCGCAGCGATCCTCACGGTGTGTTCTCTGGCACGTTGTCGGTCTCGGCTGATGATATGCTCCACATGGTCATCCTGGAAGGAGTTGTGGACGTCTTCGGGAAGCCGAGGATCACGTCCCCAAACTGCTTGTGCCGGGCTAAAGCCGGCATCCCTTCTCAGGGTGTTCATTGCGTTATTCACGGCCGTGACAACCATGTTGGCCTCATCCGACGTAGCCGACCGCTCATCGACCAAACGGGACCATACTTCCTTCCACGTCCGAATGGCTCTCTCGACTGTTCCATTCTGCCAATGCGCCTGTCCGGCAATAGGCCGGATGTAAGAGCCATGCCACTCACTGAACCTCGCGAGTCCAGCCTGGAGGCCGGATTCCAGATCCACCACCAAAGTTCCAGGAGCCCCAAAAGTGTTGCTCCACAAGGCACAGAAAGAATCCTCCATTGTCCGCGTGGAGTGTCCTCGTAGTTCGCCTGCCAAAGCAAAACCAGTACCGACATCGATCGCCGTCATGAGTTCCACCTTCTCGCCGTCGCAGTCGTAGACGTAGAACGCATCCACCGCGACCACCTGGTTAAACTCCAGTAAATTTGGCAAAGACGCCGGCTTGGGTGTCGCCCCTCTTTTGTTCCGCTGACAAACTTGACACTGAAGACGTTTGCACGCGTCCACCACGACGGGGTCCGCACCCGCCAGCCTCAAATGCCTCGCCAAGTCGGTATTTGAGGGATGCCCAAGATTTTGATGGAGGCGCCTAAGTGAGGATTTCACTTCTGAGGCCAGGTTCTTGCCCTTCTCAAAGGAGATCGCTTCGGCGCCGGTCTTTGCAACCCCATCCGCCCCGTTACCATCCTCAACCTCGGGCTTGTACTCGGTCACGTAGGCATGGAACTCGGGAACCACCTCATCGTCGGGGTGTCGGTGGTCCTGGCGGTAGTCGTCGTTAACTCGTAGTACATCAGGTTCCTCGCAACGGTGGTGCCATTTGCCGTCGTACCTCGCCAGTAAGTCCTTGATTCCTTCATTCTCCCAGCAGGGATCATCGGGAGTAGCTTCTATAGCAAGTTGCCGGCCTTGATCCACGTGCTCACATAGGTATCCGGTGATGTCCTTGACGTAGGAGGCTGTGGTCTTGGCGTGAAGCCACACAACTGCTGGATTGAACTCACGGATGGTGTCGTAAATGGCCTCGATAGGTTGGGGATCCTCTCCTCCATGGGAGTAGCCGTAGGGTTCCGCCGCCAGGTAGTTCAAGTCGGTGATCTCCAGAGTCTTGTGGAAGCCTCCGATCTCGAAAAAGGCCACTGCTTCAGGTCCCCGTGAGAGCGGGTAGTGGGTCGCCGTACAGGATGTTCCAGCCATCGTACACCATGTAGTCAGGGCGGCCAGTCGACTGGCCTTCTTCCAAAGTCCTTTCCTGATGCTCTTCATAGGGCGATGCCGAACAGCTCGAGGAGGATCTTCGTCACATTCCGGGGGTCGCAGAGGTATTCCGCGGAGAGGAAAGCGAAGATCACGGAGTTGATCGCGCTCGGCCACGGTGCTCTGTTGGAAACCCCGAGTGGTGAAGCATGACAAAGTCCAGCGCTCTCCGTCCCACGGTTGGGTGGCATGCTTGATCTTCCCGTTGAAGGTGTACACGGAGTTCTTGGTCTTCACGTTGTAGCCGGGGAGAAGATTGCCTTGCGCATCGGTCCTCCATTGAGTGCCGGGCGTGTCTGTCGCCCGATCCGAATCGCTCATCCATAGTTCTCCTCCGGAGAAAGGACCAAAGGACACCGTCTTCACCGTGGTGTTCGGAAGGTTGTGTACGTCGGCGTGCACGGAGGTTGCGGCGTTCTTGAACAGGACGAAGGATGACCACTGCCCGAAGCCCTGGACCTTCATGAAAGAGTTCATGTACTTCACCGTCCAAGGAAGGCTTTGACTGGCCTTGGAAATCCCGCTCATCGGACCATAGGTATACATCCCGGCAAGGAAGTACTCGAGAGATCCTCCGCCGCCTCTCTGCAAGCCCTTTCCTTTGGGGGTCCTCCGAAGGGGGACCGTCCTTGCCAGTTCCAGCAGGTCCTCGTAGGTGAAGAGCTTGAGGTTGAGCTTCTCCCGGGCAATCATCTCGCAGGTCTCCGCCTCAGCCGCTTTGGTTCCGGTGGCCTTACGTTGGACTACATCCCCACTGCCTCCGGTGACCATCGCTTCATGAGTAGGTTCGCCTAGCGTCCTGGGTTGATTCTCAGACTCGTCGAAGTCGAGGTGGTAGAGGAAGTCGTCGTAGTTCTCATCGTCTTCCTCGGCTCCGTTATCGCCGTCGGGGTGCGCCTCCTCGCAGTCATAGAACTCCTCCGCGCCGCCGTCCTGGACCTTCTGGTTCTCAATCATCCCCGAGGGGGAATTCCATGCTGGTCCCGAAGTAGGGCCAGGCGTTCCTCCAAGCATCGCATCTCGTCGCTGATCTCCGGGGGCACTTCCTGGTCCATCCTCACCGGTGTCGGGACAGGGGGTCCCTCCGCCGAGCGTCGTCGCAAGGGGGTCCTCGGCGCTTGAACTGGATAGCCCGCGGCCTTGGACTTCGGCGTCGCCGCTTGGGACACTGCCAGGGCCTCCCGGTGTAGAAGATCCCAGGATGCCGTAGAGCTCCCGTCGTCCACGTAGGGGATCGTCGCACACTCCTCTGCATCGAAGGGGTCCTTGATCTCCTGGGTCTCCGGGTTCCACTTGTGCATCTCGCCCTTCCACCAGTTCGCGTAGAGGACCAAGTCCTCCGACGGGTTGTCGTTGCTTTCCACTTCTCGCACGGCCCATGTCCGGTAGGACACCGGAGTGTCCTTGTAGGCTTTCCCTTTGAACCTCCCGAACCCCAGGATGGAATCGGGTCCCATCCCGCCCTGGTCCCTCAAGATCCTCATAATCGTGCCGCGGGTGGCGTACTGGGGCAGCAAGTAGTTCATCTCCATCGCACGGATCTTGAGGTCCTCCAAGGTCATGCTGCCCATCCCCTTGGTGACATTCGCCGGGTGGTTGGCTGAGGGATTGCGCCGGTCCTCCTGGATTGCGGACCTCAGCTCCGTGACGGTCCATTTTTGGTGCACCCACAAGTTCCTGGCTTGAGCTTCCGCCAAGAGTTCCGCCTTCGTGAACTCCGACAGCGTCTTTGCCCGGGTGACGACAGGAGCGGTCAGGAGGTCCGTGCTCTGAGCCATCTGCCGAAAGAGCGCGGGGAGAAAGCGAGCGGGGCATCGAAAGTCGTCTACGAAAGACACTTCTGCCGATCCAAAGAACCGGAAAAGATCCATCATCACTGGGGGCTTGCCACAAACCGTGCACTTCCGGAAACTCTCTGTGGCTCTTGCAAGACAAAGCATGAATGCTCCTGACTGCACCGAGTGACTGTAGCAACTTCTCCTTGTGGGCTGTGTTCTGCGTCTTCCAGTGTTGGGGGTTGAAGAAAGATCGACGGGGTATGACGTGAACACGAACCAACACTTCGGCACTTTCAATCCAGAAATCGTTGGAGATACTTGTAGATGACCACCAAGTAGCAAAGGTTGTGGGATTGAAGTTGGGATCGAGGAGGAAGTTCTTGGTAGCAAGCCCGATTTTCTTAGGATAGAACAGAGGACAATACCCGGGATCTCCTTTAGGACTTCGGGGTTCTTCAGGAAGAGCATCTCTTTCACCACCTCCACCATGCTCATCACCAACTTCCATAGAGCTCACCATCCAACTAGTCATACAAGGCAAAGATCCCGAACTCGCCGATGAACCTGAAGCATCATCGCCCAAAACATCATCGCATCCCTTCCCCTTGGCTGCACTCGTGTATTGCTCACCCTGCGGAAAGATCACGATCTCTGTAGACTCCCATTTGGAGTCTGCGCCAAAACACTTCGGCAAGGGGGCTGGCCTAATCTGGAACGCCGGGTGGCCAGTCTCGGTGATCTCCAACTCCATGTCGTAGACGCCGAGGGCCTTGAAAGAGGCTTTATTCTCGGCCACATCGAGTAGCATTCCCATCTTCCCGAGGGCACCGCGCGAGACCAACAATGGGACGTCGCCGTTCACTACGGCGACCCTGAGTCCAATCCGGAACCCACCGAGCTCGAAGCAAAGGATGATCCCGTAGCTCGCAACAAACACCTTTGAAGCTCCAAACTTGAAAGCCTCACGGCACGAGGTGAACTGTGGATCGCATTCCATCTTCCGAGCCTCGGCCAGGTAGGAGTCCACCCACGCCGCGCCTGCCACTGAGCGCGAGCAAGCTGTATCGGTGATCGCCAACAGGTCCTTGTTGACGAAGCCCTCGATCTCCCAAGTGACATGGACCACGTGGCAGGGGTACATCGCCTTAGCATTGTCCTTCCCAACAGTAGCCGTAGAGGATCCCGCCTTGTTGCCGCTGGTTCCAGAGTTGCCCGCGTTGGCCTGGTTCAAAGGGCAGACGCTGTCTTTGTGCCAGTGACCGCGCCTCTTGCAGCCCGCGCAGAAGGAGCGAGCTTTCGCTGCCTTGAGCTTGTCGCTGGCCAGCTGCTTGAGAGAATCCGGGTCGGAGCCCCTGAGTTTAGCATTTTCTCGGTATCGTTGCTTGGCCGACTCGTGTGTCATGTAGGCCTGGTAGAGCTCCTGAGCCACTTCCTCTGGAACGGCGTCCTCGTTGCCCTCGTCCAACTCGAAAGCCTCGTAGACCTCGTAGGACCCGTTCTCATCGACCCCGGCGAGATTCGCCGAGAAAGGCTTGCGAGGCGCCCAATCTTTCCTGACAGGACGTGTCTGGTTTTCCCACGGCTTGCGGAGTCCTCGGTCATGAACAATGGCAGCCTGCTGGAGTGCTGGTTGCCCACCGAAGCAAGCAGATTCAGTTCCGCCTGTTCTTCCAGTCCCATCCTATCCACGAAGACCCATGCCACAGCAACATCCGGCAGTTGACAGCCGACTTCTTGAAGCCGGGAGTGCGCCCTGTCAAACTCCGCCATGTAGTCACGAATCGATTGATTCGTCTTCCGGTGTAGGCTCCGGAAGAACCCGGATAAACTTCGGCCAATTTGCGTCACCTGAACATCCAGGTATCGATCTTTGACCCACTCCACCAGGTAGTCGACGCCGCACTTGCTCCCGAGCTTGTCCATGTCGAGCCTTTCTGCGTCCACCCAGGCACGGTCCGTCAGGTGCTGGTACAGGGTGAGGGCCTGTTGGTCCTCACTCATCCTCGTCATCCGCCTCCAAGCAGATACTTGCCTGAGATACGAACGAGCTGAAGTGCCCAAGTCGTCACCGGAGGAGGGAGTCAGGCCAGAGAAGCTCGGGACGATCATCTTCTCCGAGGGTCCACGGCTGAACTCTCCTCTCTTTGCTTCATACGGAGTGCCTTGGGCGTCCGTTGAGGGGCGCCATCCGTCTGGTTGCCGTCCACCGCCTTGGTAGGTCCTTGAGTCGCTGCCAGACACGTGGCGACCCCAAGCGTCCAAGGATGAGTCCTTGGAGTCCCGATCTTGGCCTCCGTCCAGAGACCCCGTTCCTGTAGAGGTCGACCCCCAGGGCCGAGAGTCGTACCACGTCCCATCTTGGACAGCACTTGAACTGACATCCTGAGCCCACCCTGAGCGATCCCAGTTCCGACTGTCATTGCCCCATGAGTGACCCCACTGGCGTTGCCATCCGTCACTCCACCACTGCTGTCCCGATGCCCATTGATTCTCCACTATGCCATGATCATCACGAGGAGGGTGGCTATCTCCTACGCCTCTATGATCACCATCATCGCCATCACCATCTTGCTGCGGAGAATCGACATCAGGTTGTTGAACATCACGCTTCAGGTAACCGTCATACATGCTCGTGGGACCACTGGTCGACATCGCAACAAAAAACAAAGTTCGCAGGACAGACAAAACTACGAAGGGCCTAGGAGCGCTAGCCGCTCCGCTACCAATTTACAACTAGAAGGCGAGACCCAGTCCCCAGGGCCTCTGCAGAGCGCCCTCGCCGCTTTTGGCTTTGGGCCGACACATGTGCCTGCGATCACAGATTGTCTAGAAAGGAACCTTCGAGCTTTACATTTAGGGCTTAGGGCCCAGGGTTTAGGGTTTAGGGCTTAGGGTCTGTATTATAGGGTCTGAAGAGGCTTTGGTGTCAGAAAACCAGGTTTAGTCTTTAGGGCTGTGGATGTTGAGGTTTAGAGCGGACGGAGTTGGGGTTTTGATGGCTTCGGAGTTTGATGGTTCAGATCTCGGGGCTTCGGATTGTATTTACGAGGATGAGGGGTCATCAGTCTCTGAATGTGGTCTTCCGTCGCAAATCCGGTTTAGGGTTTAGGGGTTTAGGGTTTAGGTAAACCCATAACTTAACCCCTAAACACCCGAAATCCCTAATCCCGACTCACCCTGGAGTCTGAAACCCGAACATGAGCCAGGAAAGCCTACAGCCTTGAGCATCTAAGATTATGCAAAGATAATATATATATATATATATGTATATATATATACAATAAGCTGGGAGCTTCCGAAAAATAAATTTCAGTCTTAACCATCCGATTTCCGAAGGTTCCCAAACAGCGATGTGTCTTTTGTGATTCAGGTTTCTTCCGTGCATCTGTGTTTTGCAGGGGCTGTATACTTTTGTACATCACTGCTGTATCACCACCTAAACTCTGTTTTACAGCCCTTATAATGCTTCGCTACACCCTCACATGTAACCCGAGATCGAAAACACCCCGACCACGGGCAACCCCGCCGTTGATTGCCAAACCCTGCACTATCTAGAGTTAGGAATATAATATTACTGATCGGTATTCCTTAGAGTTGTCTAGAGTAAATACTTAAGGCAGTGCAGGACTCTACGCAGCATCAACAGACGAGTTCCTTGTAAGTTTAACCCCTGGTCAGGGTGGCCGATCGACTGGAGAGTCGATACTTCAGTGCCTCACACGACATCGAGGAAGTTTCTCAAGGTTTCAAGTTTTGTGAACTTTCCGGATCGTTCGCTGCGCTGTTCAGTAGGGCTGCCTGTTCACGAAGTCCTCGCCTTGTCTTTCTGAAGAGCGCACCTAAAGTACCTAAAGGACACAAGCACTCACACCGGGCAGGCTGTGTTTCTTCCAAACGTAATAGAGTCATAAGCAGCCCTGAACACCTGAACGCCTCTGATAGGGTTTCGGATGGTTTCGGATCGGGGATACGAGAGCCCTACACCCAAGCTGTTAGCTGCAGCAGTTTCGGTCCTTGGGATTGTTATATGGGCCACTTTAAGGCGGATTCAGAACAGCTCCTACCATGTGCTTCCCATGTCTTAAGGCACTGCCGTACTTTGTATTCCTGTACTCTACCAATGCTCTACTATGCTACGGTGTACTGTACTCCATTATACTCGACTGAGCCCTAAACCTAGGATGCCCAGTAGTACCCTTATTCACTTTTTGTAGTCCTAGGTTCCTTACAAAGGTACCCAATGCCAAAAAGAGAGCCCTTTTTATTCGACTATATTACTACAAAGAGTTCAGTCCAAAGTCGCTCCCGAAAGTAGCCGCCAGGACGTGGAAGACGACGTCGAGGCGCTTGGCCAACAGCGGAGCCCAAAGGCCATGGTGTTTGCTTAGGTTTTGGGTTTAGGGTTCAGGGTTCAGGGTTTAGGGGTTTAGGGTTTACAAGGTTTGAGTGTTTAGAGCTTGCTCAGGATTTGTTTAGCGTTTGTTTAGGGTTTAGGGTTTGACACATTGGCAGTTGTTTGTTGTTTGTTTGCTGCTCTTTTGTTTTTGTGTGAATAGTCTGTGCATGATATGTGGTGGTGTGTTTCCCAGCTTTGGGGGGCTAGGAGTTCAGGGTTTCAGAGTCTTGGGAAGATCACCAGCAGTTGGGGGCTGGTTGTTAAAAACAGGGTCCCTCTTTGGGTACCCTAAATATTAGGTGCCGTACTGTATTAGGGACCTACAAAGGGACCATAGTTTAGACAACCACCCAGGGGGGTGCTTCTGTGTTTCCGGCAACTTCACCTCGTTCTGCTAGACAGATCGAAGCGGTTTGGTGCTGGCAAGTCTCAAGGGGTTTGAAGATGTTTGGCTTTAACGTTGAGGGTTTCAGCAGATAGACAGACTCGGATAGATAGCTAGATGGATAGATGTAAAGATAGATACATGGACAGACGGACGGACGCATAGGCAGACACATAGTGAGAGATTGGAAGATGCAGAGAGGGAGCAAGGGAGAGAGAGAGAGAGAGAGAGAGCGAGCGAGAGAGAGCTAGGGACAGAGAGAGAGAGAGAGAGAGAGACAGACAGACAGAAGGACAGAAAGACAGAGAGACAGAGAAACAGAGAGACAGAGAGACAGAGAGACAGAAAGACAGAAAGACAGAAAGACAGAAAGACAGAGAGACAAAGACACAGAAAGACAGAGAGACGGACAGACGGACAGATGAAGGGTTAAGTGACGGACAGACGGACAGGCGTACAGACGGACAGACGTACAGATGGATAGACACACAGACAGAAAGACAGACAGACTGACTGACAGAGAGACAGACAGATCGAGAGATGGGAAGATGGAGAGGTAGAGAGCCAGAGATAGACAGATGGATGCACAGGCTATGGAGTGCTAGATAAACAGAAGTTGTGTTAGACCGGTACACATCGAGATGAGCGATGGTCTTTGGCTCCTTGCATTTGAGAATGACTTGGTTCGGGATTACCCGTGCGCAGTTCGTAGTTCAGTGTTGTAGCAAGTGCGAAACATCGACACACACCCAAAGCTCACGACGAACCCTGCCCCAGGACAGATTGAGCACCCAAGCAGTCAACTCCTGAAGAAGAATTGCAAAGGGGCGGTCGGCAAATGCCCCAAATCTGATGCCCAGGGACATGCTGCTGAGCTTCTGTCGCTGTTTTCGCACGAAGGGTCTTTTCAGCCACCTGGCACAAGTTCTGAGCCCTCGAGTGCAGGAGTGTTCATACGTAGGGATTTATGAGGTCAGCTTCTGTGCTATACAGTGTGCATGTGTTCATGAGAAGAGCATCGGAACGTATAGACCTGCTTTCAACTTTGGGATCGGGATCTCAGATGCAAAGGAGCGGGCAGGGTTTCGGAACTGGTAACTGCAGCCTGCCGTTGTCAGCAGCATGTCCCGAAACTCCTAAACCTGCTGAAGCCCCTTACCTGGGTGGGGTCTTACCCTAAAGCCTAACACTAACCCTCAACCCCTAAATGTTATTAAACCCCATAAACCTTGAACCCTAAGACCCTAAACCCTGAACCCTTAAGCCCTAAACTCCAGAGTTAGGCAGTGTTTTCGGATTCAGGGTTTCGGATGCCGAGGTCCTTGATTGAGAACCTCCCTCTGAGCCACAAGGCCGGTCTATTGCTTGAGAGGATGTCGGACGGAGATTTGAATCCAAGAAACCCTTGAACCCCGACACCTAGAGCTGTTAGGGGCTTATAGGGTTTAGGGCTTAAAGGGTTTTAGGGTTTTATAGGGTAAGTTTATAGGGTGTAAGTTTAGACGGTTAGCGGGGGGGGGGGACTCGTTTACTCTGAAGCCTCAAGCCGGAAGTTCTCCACCCGGGGGTCTTCACTGGGGTTTTGATAGGCTTCGGCGGATATCCATATGGGTAGTTGTCAAAATTAAGGTCCCGTTTTGGGTACCCTGAAATTAATTGGTGCCGTATTATATTGAGGACCCAAGAAGGGACCCTAATTTTGACAACCACCCATCTGAGATTATTGTTTGTTCACGTCAGAAGTTTCCCAGAATATGGATCCCATATACTCAGCCTTTGCAAGCCTCTGGGTTGTTAGAGTTTCCCTAAGGGTCCATGCACCCAAAGAGTATATACTTTGGGCCCAAACTACCTATGTATACTATTTGGGTACATGGACCCTTAGGGTTTGGTATCTTCTTGGCAAGGTGAGACCACTTTGGTGCGTGCAGGCCCTTTCAGGGTTTAGGGTTTGGGGTTTAGGGTCCAAACAATGCGCGGGACAGCTGCGCAACTCTAGAACCCTGCGCTCCAAGCCCCACAATATCCTATGGTTTAGAGTTCAGGTTGTAAGGTTAAGGGGTTCGGGTTTAGGTTAGAGCTTCAGACACCTTAGTTAAATACAGGGTGTGCACTCTTGCAGGAGGCGCCGTAGCGCCCCGCCCCCCCCCCCCCAAAAAAAAAACAAAAAAAATCAAGCTTCACCCCCTCGCGGTAGCTGTTGGTGTGAGCTAGTATTGCATTTGGGACACACCTACAATGCAAGCTCTATATTTGTCCAGGGCTTTAGATTTGGGGTTGGGGGAAGCTCTATGGTCTTGCTGTGAGTCTGGTAGTCGGTATCATAACCCCATAAGCAATCTTACCGACACTACTTGCTATATCAAAAGAGCCTCTAATCCATGTAAACCTTGCGAAGCCCATTATCAAAGCTCTGATTCTGTTTAAAGAGGCCTAGAAAGGAATACAAAACCTTCTAAAGGCGTATCAAACTCGCTGCAACACAGCAGATCGCACTGATTATGAGCCCAGCCATCCTCAACCATGCCATCCTCTACCCTAAACCCTATAATTAATTCAACCCTATAAACCCTGAAAACCTAAACCCTAAAGCCAAACACCTAAGAACTAAACCCTGTTAACCCTGAAAACCTATAAACCTCAAAGACAAAAGCCGAAGACCTAAACCCGAAAGCCAGGTGGCTCTCATCCTCATTCGCTGCACGTCGCGCCCCCGGCGAGGCAATCTCCAACACTCGCGCGGTTGGAGCTTTGCTGCTCTAGTAGGGTGCAAAATTGGGGGGATGAAATCAAGACGCCCTCCAAATTCGAGGGCCCATGAACTCAAATGGCATATGAGCAGAATCTCATCAGGACCCTGTAAACATACAT